TTCTGTCTCAACTTTTTGAATAGCCATTTTCCTCTTATTTAATCAAGCACTTACTCTGAATGGAGTTATATTTGTTTATTTTTCCTTTTAAAGGGAAATAGTTTAGCTGATTTCTCGTACAGAGGCAGTATTATGCATTTTCCAGTCACATAGTGCCATTTTATAACCCAATTGGTACTCCGGTTTCCTCCCACAGTCCAAAAACATGACTGTCAGGTTAATTGGCCTCTCCAAATTGCCCCTAGGTGTCAGTGTGTGTGTGTGTGGTTGTTTGTCCTGTGTGTCTCTGTGTTGCCCTGCGACAGACTGGCGACCTGTCCAGGGTGTACCCCGCTTCTCGCCCGGAACTTTAGCTGGAGATAGGTACCAGCAACCCTCCAGACCCCACTAAGGGACAAGGGTGTAAAGAAAATGGATGGATGGATGGATGGATGGATGTAGCCTAGTGGTAAACTGAAGTTACTGCAATGACTGTATGTAAAGGTTAATAGAAATCTCACATAGATCAAGTAGGCTATTGCATAGCATTGGTGATAGCTATGGATTTCATATTTTTGTTTCTGAAAGAAATGCACTGGTATTTTCCTTGACTTTAATATTTAAATAATATAAAGGTAACTATTGAGTAATTAGCTTACTTGGTAATTAAAACGGTATTGTTGTAAATCAACTAATAGCATTATTTTATGTAAATAATGCAATTGAAAGAAGCGTTAGTGTGACGTAAGCTGCACTGTATTTTATTTGGCTTTGCCATTTGATTGGCCACTGAGACAGTCCGTCCAGTGCGTGACTTATGATTGGTTGAGAGAAAAAGAGGCGGGAGGAGAAGAACAGGAGAACCATAATGGTGGAGTACGGAAGGTGAGACAAGCGGACAGGAAGTGGGAAAATACAGACTCGAGGGAGAGAAAACCGGGAAAAGCACAGGAGAGGACGAAATTCGGGAGAAATTGGAGGAGCTTGGTCGACGCAAGAGAGACGGGACGAGAGGAGACAGACGCAAGTAGTCGGGACGAGAATTTGAACTGAGCTAAGTTAGCTAGCCGCTTCAGCTCCACGTGTTCTGCTGCGTTCAATGGATGTCGGGAGGAGAGGACGCGTGAATTGCAACATTCTCAATGTTTTCCTCTGGGATTTCAACTCCTCATTTTTTCTCTACCAGGCCTGCAACGTTTTCCCCACTCTCCGGGAGGCCGTGAGTAAAACCGACTGGGCTACATGTGTTCAGGACTGTATTGATGTATGTGGACATTTATTATGCCCTGGTGGAAGGGAAAGGTGGCCATTCATATTTTATTTGTTCTGCCTTATGTGAAGAGAGGTACATGTTCTTTAAATCTTGAGTTTTCCGGCTTTAAAGTCTATCGTGGTGACTAAATGGTTAGATTTTATGACACTTTAGTTTAATAAAGTTAGGCTGAACCATTTTGCCTGAAATTCTAATGTTTCTCTGGGTCATATTTGTCATAAAGTAGATCAGTGGTGCCGCACACCGATTGGGGTACACTATGGATATCCAACCCAAGCACCCTCCATTTTAGTTTTCCTGCATAGAGTGGTTAAAAGTGCTACAGCAATCAAGCAACTATGTTACCTTTAGACGTTATACACATGCCGTTTGTATCAAACATGACTTAAAAGAAATTTGACTTAACAATTTTATGCCTTGAAATTGGCCTCCGTCTCTTTCTGACATCACCGGTGCTCCTTCATCATGCCGTTTACAACTGTTCTTAGGTGCGCTGGACTGAGAATATTTTGTACGATGAGCTCAGCAGGTGTGCAGTTCCATCAGGTGTTTGCTAATTGCTGCTGCTGCTGCTAGTCGAGAGGAGCTAAGTGGGGGAAGGGTGCTCTGTGAGGCAGAAGCTCAGCTTGGAGGTTGCAGCTTCAAGGAGGAACTTCAAGGAAACAGGCCGAGCTTTGTGAGAGCAAGCGTTTAGGCACCCACGAATGACTGCTATGGGAAATGAAAAGATTTCTTAAACATGCATGAAAGAATCAAAGTAACGCTCCAAGAATGTTTTTGATGAGGGGAAAAACATTGCAGTATATTCTAAAGCTCGAAAAATTCGATTTACATAATACCTCCACTTTAGTCCTTAATTGAACTGGCACACATTGAGATAAAATCATGACTAAAGCATTGATCCTTGTTCTGATGAAACGCCAGCTTTTAGCTAAAGTAATGAAGCTTGTGTACCTAATTACAGTAGTCCTTTAGCTTAGAGCTCCTAATGCTTGTGGGAGCGAGCTTTGATCTCCATATTCAGTGTGCATTTAGTTTCTCTTCAGTGCAGTTTCACTTACCAGCAGAAATGGTCCAGCTGAGTTTTTTCTGCACTCTTCAATTAGCTGCTGCCTGGTGTTTGTATCTGGCCAACAATTAGGATCGCTGGACTCAAATGGGTCGATCAGCTGCAGAAGCAAACACACACATACGGTAAAACGACATAAGAGACATAACTGGAAGTCGATGCAGAAAACTTAATCAGAAGCACCAACTGCAAACAACCAAGAAACGGCTGAATGATATATGATGTTTGTGTTTCCACCTAATTACACAAGCTGCTGAATAGAACGCTTTTCACAATGGGCTGATCGACTTGTCTGGGGGGTGACTTGCACACACGTTTGAGAGCACAAAGCACGCAGTGCAGCCATGTTGCAGCTGCTTACCGTCTTTGTTGTCATTAGTGATTAAGCGAAGTTAAGCAGAATTGATTGTACCTTCACAGGAGTGACTTCAGGCAGGGAATAAAAATAAATAGATACAGTCATGAAGCTGGTAATAACTTGCAGCTCTTTTATTTATCCCACTGCTTGGGCCCAGTTACTACATAAAATTTGCACCTCAATTTTCATACTTTTTAGTTGACTGACGGAAACTTAATTAATGGCAACATCTTGAATTTGACCCCAAATATTAAAGGCATAGATGCACATTTCTGCAGAATAAGAATAGGAACAAACAACAAATCCAGACAAAGTATTAAATTTCTTATATCTAAAAAAAAAATTACAAAATAACTGATGTGCAGTAAAGTTTGTGTTCTTAGTCAAAAAGTAATGTTCTTAAACTCAAAACGTCTTAGCTGTTGTGTTTTCAGCGTAGTGAGCGTGATTCAGAGCTGGATACTCACCCTGACATCTAGTGCCAGTAAGCTCCTACAGCGCTCTCTAAACCTGGGAAACACTTTCTCTTTGAGAGCCCTCCGCTCGATTACGCTGTCTGACATGCAACATAAACACAAACAGGAATCACTTGTGACCAAGTAAAAATAAAGCCACTAATTGACAAAATGCTCAGATTAGAGTAGATTTATAAATATATATGAACAGTACCTTCTGGATTGGAGCACAAATAGATTTTGACACAAGATGAGTCACAGCAGGAATATGAAGAGTGCCTGCCTTTTCCTTTGGAGGGCATGCCTGGTCTATGACCTTCAAATAAAATAAAAATAGGGAGTAAAACTTGTTCTCAGAATATAAGAAGCGACCTAACAAGTTGATGCCTTTCCTCTGAGCTGGCGGTCCTCTGTTGCCTCCAGTGAGGAAACTCTGGCCTTTGGTTTTGCTTGCAGACTGTGGCATCCTGACCACGCCCACTTCTGGTGACTGGAATATGGCAGACACACATATTACGCACCATGTCTTGTGCATACACCATCATCCATTTATGCACTTGTGCTAAGCTACGTTGACTTTTGACTTTTACGGTACCTTGCAAAAGTATTCACACCCATTTTGTCAGGTTATAATCACATGCATCCACACCTGAGAGGAAGCGGTTAGATAAGCTCATAAAGGAAGGTCGGCTCCATCCCAGGATGCCTCTTTGACCCAGTGCAGATAGGGAGACAGGACTCTGACGAAATGAACGTCAATGTTGGGCAATGCATCCTAGATTCACAAAGGAGCATTACCACAGATCCTTCCTCCCAGCAGCTGTATGAATTCCTGACAAGCTAAATAAGTGCCAACATCCCTGCTGTCTTTTGCAGTTTTTTCATTTCTACTCTTACAGTTCTTTGTATTGGAGTATGCCATTATTAATAGCTTCACTTTTCTTGTGCGATAATTTTGCCTGTGCAATCTCTTTTCTTACTTTCAGTTTTTACATTTGTACCCAAGTGTGAATCTGCACGATTCATATTACCTCTCACTTTGCTGTTGGAACACCCAAATTCCCCCACTGCAGGACAGAGAAGAGTAAGTCTGTTCTGTCCTACGAAGACGTTTGTGTGAGAAGTGTGGATGAGAATCCATCCAACTCCAGTCAATGCACCTTTTGTTGCAGTTAACTCCAAATGTTTTGGAGGATTTCTCTGCCAGGATCACCTTTGTACATTAGTAATAATAAATAACCTTATTTGTATAGCACATTTCAGCAACAAGGCAGTTCGAAGTGCTTTAGAGACTGACATTGTTGTCCTTTAATCTTGCAAGACAGTTCAAACTGTCTCAGACTGGGTAGAGACACTGATTCCTACTGTGATTTAAATCCAGACTTTGACTGGGCCATTTGAACATGAGAATATGCTCTGTTCTGAGCCACTCCCACTAAATTATGTTTATGTTTTGAGCCTTTGTCCTACTGGAATAAGAACATCTGTCCCAGATTAAAGTTTTTTGTAGCAAGAGGTACTCATGCAGGGATGACATGCATTTAGCTCCACCTTTCTTCCAATCCACTCCACCCAGCTCCCCATCTGTAGAAAAGCATCCATCCAGTACGATGCTGCAACTACCATATTTCAATGTGCATAACTAGTGTATTTACTGAATGCGTTGACATACAAAACCACATTTTTCAATTTTAATTACAAAAAAATACTGAAAACTATGCAGAATTTTCTTTATGCTTGCATTGTGGAAATTGTTTTGGTAATAAAATAAGAAGCAAATCATTTAAAAGTTTGAGTGTTTTGAATATTTTTTTGACATATTCAAACATTGAACCCATCCATGCAATTATTCAAACAAGACAAAAGTGTTTTAAACATTTTTTATTAATTAACTTTTGTACACAATAAATACAAACTCTATTTTTGTACAGCCAATATTAATACGCTGAAAGACATTTGCGCCTGTTCTCATTACTGTCACATCGGCAACAGTCTATGAAGGGAGAAGGCCAGTTTGTTTCACCGCATCACTGATACTAGCGGGCTGCGCTGCTCCGAATCAGATATATAGAATCGTATAAAAACATAAAAAAAACAAAAAAAAAAACACACAAAATAACAAATATCTCAACCCTGGAGCAGATAAGAGAGACTGGCAAAAGAAGGAGAGCTAGGCATGTTCAAGGTGGCGACAGGCAAATGAAGTCAAACGTTGCACTTGGGCCACCACTCTAAATCTGACGGTTTCAATAACAGCTCTGAAAACCACTGTAGGGATATTTCAGAGAGAACAAGCGGAGCCGGCTGCTATGCTAATGTTTTGGTACATCCCTCACATCAACTTCATCTGCTTTATAAAAAGGAAACCAGTTAAGTTGAACCCAGATCTTACTGGAAGAGGCTTGTCTTCCCACTAGAGCTTCGGTTAACATGAAAATGTACTCGCCTTTGGAAGATTACTGATAATAATTTTCACTAAGAGAAATCAATACACATATATTGCCAATTTTCTTCTGTTTCTGGAACCACATAGGACAAAAAAAAATAGTTTTGTGCTGCGATTCTGCTGCAAAGAGGTGTTGGATTGTGGAGCTTTACAGTTCAATAAACCCATTAAACCAAATTGGGCATTTATCCTCACAGTCGGTGTGTTTCAAAGAGGAACTTTTAAAGCTGTTAAGTCTTTTGAACAGTCAGATGTTTCCTGCTTCGGGTCAGTTTGCCTCATAGGATCCCCATTTTGCACCACTGCATATCAGTTTAATCTTGACAGTAAATGTAATTTGATGACTTAATGAGTTATAAAAAAATTATTTACCAATTCCATGTATGATGTAAGGGTTTTGTATATTTTTTATGTGTATATATGTCACACTATATCCTATTTCTGCTAATTGTGGTTCAGACTTATAAAAAATTATATTAAATCACTGCTTGGGTACAAAATCATGCAAAACAATGAACACTGCAAACATATTTAAGGCATAAAGGGAAAAATGACCAGCTCCCATTATCACAAGAGTCCAAAAAAGAAAAAAAGAAAAATACCAATCATTAAAATTTCTTTCATAATTCAAGAAAAACACCAAATGACATTACAAAAAGTCACCTCTTTTGAAGAGTGCATCATTGTTTTAAGCATCAGTCACCCTTAATTAAAGAGCATCTGGGGTGTCAGTATGAAAAGATGAAACTCATACCCATGTCTGCATGTCGCTACAATTGCCTATAAGAGTCGTCTCTAACCATGCTGATGCTAGAAGAGGGTACTGCTACTTTCCAGGGAAGGTACAAATAAAAGTGCTACTACGCCCTTTAGGGAAGGACTTTTAAAGGCTTGAATAGTACATGACGAGGGGTATTTATTTACTTTGAGTACACCACAAATTTGTACTAGGCTCCATTTTGCGTTATTTTTAGTCCTCCTTGTGACCAAAATCATGTCAAGTAAACATGGATGAATGTTGAAGCTGAACAGATGAAGAAAATCAATGCAAATTGAGTTATGATCTCTAATGAGGGAAAACTTCAGTCTTTGTTTCTGGCCCTAAACAGTTTTTAAAGTTTCAAACAAATGTTTTTGTTGTTTTGTTTTGCTAGCACATAGTGAATACCAACAGATTCGGTGCGTTTCAAAGCACCAGCAGCTTTCCTCGATCAGTCATTTGAAAGGAAAACCACACAGCGCACAGAATGAGAGCAGATATAACAACTCGTGTGTGTAATATATTGTAACTGTATGTATGTATGTATATTATAGTCACTGATTCACACCGACTGCCCATTGACAGAACGTTGAGAGGAGAGACGTGAAGTGGAGACGGGAGGAGAGGCGAGCACAAGAAAAGAGAGGATCCAGCCTCCCTCGGCTCTTGCTTCTCCTCCTCCTCTCTCTCCTTCTGTCTCTCCTTCCTGCTGTTATTTACAACACCCTTTTCAGGACATGATGAAGGTAAAACTTCCACTACATATCAGACAGGGTATTCCCTTCAGCTCAGTTAGTCTATATGAAACCATGTGCATAAACATTCCTATGACAACAGTAATGTACTGTACTAATACACATTAAATACGTATAATGATAATGACTATATATAGCGCGAGAGAGAGAGAGGCTGGAAGTAAACCCAGTCTAGGTTTTCTGTCCACGTCCCTCAGCCCTGCTCTGCACTCTGAAACACCCCGACAAAAAGTTGACTTCTTTCTTTGTCCCCCCCCCATGTCTCCTCTTTTTTTTTCTTTTTTTCTTTTTTTAACAGAGCCTCAAAACTTGCAAAACATCAGACGTAGTCCCTGAGAAAAGGTGGGAAAACATGTATTGTGTCCATTTTCAGCCTTTAAGGATGAATTCAAATGGGTGGACTTAACATACAACTACTAATTTCAAAAGCAAGACTTGGCTGCACACAAGTTGGTGTGACCCTCACAGGGTCAGAAGTATCACAAACCGGTTCGCCAACGGGACAAACTGTTGGCTAGCATTGATTCCCCTTCGGAACGTCCTGACCTCAACCCATCTGAAACCGTACGGGGCCATGCTTCAAAGCTGGATCCGAACCTGGAAGCCAACCAGTTTAAAGACCCTCTACGTTTTCTGCCAAGAGGAGTCGTTCCAATATCAAACCACAATTATATCAGAAGTTTGTTGATGGTCATTAAAAGAACACAGTTAAACTCTCCAACGGGATATTTAGCCAAATATTTCAAGGGATAAATGTATATGTGCACTATTGCACATAAGACAGAATAATTGTGTTTTTTGAGGCACATAGCCTTTTTTTTTATTGTTTAACCATTTTATGAGAAGACAATTACTTATTCCAATAAACCCAAACTTGTGCACCAACTTCCTGTTTGGGGAAAAAAAAAAAAAATTGTTACACTGAGAGGGAGTCGCTTAAACTCATTGTTAATAAATGCCAAAAACTAGCATGATGTCATGTTCACGGTAAATGTCTGTTAACCTTTTGCTGTAACTGTCTGTTCTCAGACTGTTGGGGACCTGAAGCTCGTCCACATGACTGAGTTGATCTCAGTTTGTAGTTTTCCTGTTTTTCCACAGACTTCAATCAAAGATGTCAGTCGGTTTCAATTAAAAATATGACAGATTTAAATGAAATGCTGCCAGTAAAGCAACAACATTTGAAACAGCTGCTCCAATCCCATGTGCTTCATGGTGGCTTTTAACCTATTTGAACCTTTGCTCCTAATTTTACCACTTGTTGTAGTTTTTTGGTGGGCTTTAAATATACCTGAAAACAAATTTTAATAGTGTGACAAATATCTCAAGCTGTATGTTTTGCTTGACTTTTAACATTTTTGGGCTCTGAGATGTCGTGAAGGGGTTTAGAAAGTGCAGAGGAGAAGAACTGCCTTACATAACTCGCGAGCTTCAAAAGACCCCATCAATAAGTGTTCCCCATCTCTCCTTCCTCTCTTCAGCCCGCTCTAACTAGCTGTGTGAGGCGACGTTTTAAGGCCAGACTGGAAGGACGGGGGGGGCAAAGGAACACAATGCTGCACTTTATTAGAGGGCTAAAAAGGAGCTGATTTAACTGGACACGCCAAGCATTACCCTGCCTCCCTGCTCCTTCTCTTCCTCGGCTTGGGGATGAGAGAAGATGCAGAGCGTCCGGCAGTGTCGGTGTGGTTCGATCGAATTAACTTCTCATCCCTTCATTTGCGCTCGCATCAGTCCAGAGCGAGTTCACGCTCACTGCATCAAGGTCTGCTTCCGTCTTTTGTGCAACGTCATCAGTCTGCCAAGCTCGTCCGTCACACCAGCGTGATCTCCACTTCCTCCGTCTTGTCGCTTTTCTCATGCGGTCGCCTAGCTGGTTGCTGTTTGGGTGGAGGCGGAGCGGCTCGCACCTGCAGCACAACAAAACAGATTCAAGTTGGAAGAAACGCTGAGGCAATCACACAGCTGGCTAACTTTCCCAAAAACAAATATATATCTATTTACCTTCTTTACTTCCTTTCTTAAGTTTTACTTTATTGATGAAAAATCAAATCATTTAAGCTGTGTGAAAGAGAAACCTCTAATTTTTCTTTCACAACAAATGTTAGGCATACAAATTTAACATTTGCTTCATATTAACACTATAACAAATTATGGTGTCGCATTATGCAAAACATTTGCTGGGCTGGTGTAGAAAATCCACCTGCCCAAAGAGCAGATCATTTTTTTAAAAACTAGAAACTGTTTATTTGGTTGTGAAAAAACGTGAACATGTGAATGACGTCCTGGATGTATTTGATACCGACCGGCCGTAGTTTGCCCGGTCCGCCTCCTTCAGCTGTGAATCGTAGAGGCTGAGTCTGAGGAAATCCTGGAGACACTGGACTCCTGCCAGAGCTTTGATCTACACACGGACAAAAATACAGCATTAGAAAAGCTCTCCACCCGGCCATCCCTCTCGATCGATACGCTGTTTGAAGAAAGTTTTGAGCCAATCTCACTGTGAGAGGACAGCTGTCCCTTGTGTGAGGAGGCCGGCAGAGGAAGCTTGTGCTCCCCGTTGAGCGCAGTGGAGGGGGATCGCGGCAGAGGAGGGGGAGTGGAGGTCTCCGGGCTGGTGAAAGGGCTGATGGGAGGCTGGTCATACAGAGGCAAAGGCGGCAGGGAAGACGGCAACTTTGAAGACGGAGAAATCTAAAATGAACGAGTGACAGAAGGGCAGAGTTAAAGGGACGTCTCCAGAAAGTTCTGCAGGCACTAAATTTATAAGACGATATGTTTATAAAACATACTTAAGTACAAAGTAATTATGGTAGTTGAAGCTCATTCTTGCCTGTCTTGAAATTGACATCGATTTGGAGGGGAAACTTCCGTGTCATTTTGTTCAATTGCGGAGATTATATCACATGAAGTAATGCAATCAACTGGAGAAATACTCGGTTGGTATCATTTATTAAAAATAACAAAAATTGTTCAATAATCAGCTATTCTTTCATTGACGGAGTTCAGCAAACCACACATTTATAGTTGGCTTTTATCACATCAAAAAGTCTTTTTTTCCCTAATGTATGAGGACATAAGGAACTGATCTTTGTCTTGCTGAGATGGTGTGGGGTGACTTGAAAAAGGGGGCTGAACAAAAACCCCTGAAACATCTCAATAGTGGGGCAATTTTTAGAGATTAACAGAAGAAACCTCTGAGTTAATAAAGGACAAAGAGGTAAGACTAGCTACTAAAAGGTGGGGTATTTATTTCTATTTATTTCAAAAACAGATTATTTTGGTGCTCACCTGTAATTAAATTACATCAGTTTCCAGAGATTAAACATCGATAAGTGAAACTTTCTGGCAGTGTTCTTATTTTCTCCACAGTATATAAGCCATTAACTAAACCACTTCTACATTACCCAACCACTTTACCTCATGTAACACTTAAAAGTAACAAAAACCTCTTATGTTTGGTCTACAGGCTCAAAGGAAGGGAGAGGCTACATCCTTCCTGTTGCCAAACCTCTAATCGGGCAGCGCTTGGTACCACAGATAAGGACATTTTTCTCTTAATTACGAAGCCGGATTTTGATGTACCAGGAACACAACTATTTTGCTTCACTGTTTGTAAACTCTGCCGACAGATTAGCTGGAGAGCAGACAGGAAAGGAGAGCAAGGCGGTGGTGGGGGTGGAGGGGTCCTGGTACAAAGTGGCACAGCAGATACACAGAAAGCCTGATAGCGCTGAATGTGCAGCTCAGGCGTTGATTATCTCTAAAGCTTAACTCCGTCTCTGCTTCCTGCGGTTTCCCACTGAGATTCCTCCATCTGCACACAGACAGGTCAACCTCTGTTATCTGCAAGGCGACTTCCTGTGTGTCGCCGTACCTGTGTGTCATTCAGTGCTCCGCCGCTCGTCTCCCCATTCTCGGTCAGATCCTCCACCAGCACGGAGGGGAACACCCCCACCCGGCCGTTCAGCTCGCCCTCCCAGAAGCCGTCGTCCGTCTGAGTGTCGCGGTTCAGCAGGCGGATCACGGCGCCCTCGGAGAAGGAGAGCTCCTCGTCCGCCTGGCCTTCGTAATCGTAAAGCGCACGGACGTACGCGGCTGCACACAGACAGAGAGAAAGCGACGGGGACAGGCAGGAAAGCAATCAGTGTCACTCAGAGGGACTAATTATTCTCAGTAAAATACATTTCCTTGTCTGCTTTGCTTCTCATTGTTGTGAAGAAAACTGTACACCCGGCTGGAGAGGCGGAGATAAACGGCACAGAGCAGTAAGTATAAAAACGAGATGGGATTTCCTCAGGCGTTGGTTTTAAACATGCAGGTAGAGCCAACACAAGAAGGAAGCAAAGCGTGAGAGACTTCTAGAATAAAACGGGAATTGCATGTAAACAAAGGAGTTTCCATGTTTTTTAGCGGAAGAACACGAGTACTTGGGTTTTGAAACATGTTTCAACAAATACAAATCTGAAAGGTGTGGCCTGCATTTGCATCTTCTTACACCACCCTTTGCTGAAATTGCAGGTGGAAACTCTTTTGGGGCTTGTCTCCTCAAGTTTTGTACTCCTAGAGATGTAGAGATGTATTTACAAAATACATCGTGCTCAGAGGGCATCCCTGAACAGCAACTGCCACAGAGAAACAATTGGATTTAGGCCTGGTCTTTGACTAGGCCATTCTAACATACGAACACGCTTTAATATAAAGCATTCTATTATAGTTATGGACGTATGTTACTGCATTTCTGTTGTCATTTTACATTTTGTTTGTTGTCGTCTAAGCCCTTCTTCCACACCAAAACTTTGCGACTTCTTATGACTTTCTTCTTGCCATTAGAGCATGACTAACAAGACGGGTTGTCTTGTCAGTAGATTCTCATACCTGATAGGTGAATCTGCAGCTCCTCCAGAAGTACCATGGTTCTCTTGCCTGCCTCTCTGATTAATGCTGTCCTTGTCAGCCCTGTCAGTTTAGATCAGAGGTGTTCATTTGTGGCAATGAGACCTCAGCTCAAGAGCGGTACAAACTTGGAGCGGATGCAGATGGACACCTTATGTAATATTTTTTAGAATGAGATTTTCAAGCACAAATGTGTCTAATTTTAAATGAAAAATGAGAAGTATAAAACATTCACCATGTTTTGTTTCTTTTTTTTTTTTAAATCTTACTGTGATAGTGAGAACCAGAAACTTCCAGCAGCTTTTTTTTTTATCACGCACTCATTTACTGAAACTGAATACAGTACAAATAAAAATACAATAAATTGCTTTTCTCGTGTTTGTTTCTGGGATTAGGCTAAAAGCATTTTCCTAGACCAACAAAATTGAAAACATTTGGGCCAAAACAGTTATGAAATTGCACAAATTTCTTCAATTCAGCAAACATCTATTGTTTTTATTTTTTTGTTTTCTTTTACTTTATTTCATTAAAATACTGCATGATATTTAATGCATGCTTATTGCCAAGCAAATGAAAAGATAAAAATTCACTTAAAGATATTTTGCGTTTTTCAGTTCTCACTTAAAAGTTCAAAGTAAATCAAAGTATCTTTTCAGTGAATTCCTCTCACTCTCAGGTCACTGAGTGCCTTCAACTTGCTGATTTTGGCCCACAGTGGTTTGGGTACCACAGGTTTAGGTGGATTTTCAGATTATTGCAGGTTTGCAGTTCTGCAATTTCATTTTGAGACTATCAACTGAACCACGCTTTATGGGATATCAAGAGCCCGAGGCATTGTTTTACAGCCTAACTCTACTTTAAACGTCTCCACAACTTTATCGCCGACCTGTCTGCTGTGGTACCTGAACTTCATGATGCCGTAATAGCACTCTAGATCAGTCTGATCTAGGCCATAATTTATAACAAACTGCCAAATCATTTAGTCCAGTTTGTGTTTTCTTCATCTGGATTCCAGAAGAGCAATAAATGGAAAACATACTCGGGAATAAAACAATAAAACACAAAATACTTTAAAGTGATATAAGTGGGACTGACTAATGCCACTGATCTGAAACCTTTAGCTCCCCAGAATACGTACTGTTTGTGTCTCCGTTGATGCAGCCAGAGTGCAGCTCCGGTTCGGTTGAATTAGAGGAGGTGTGTGATCGAGCGTCCAGCGTGGCCAGGGACTGGAGCATGCTCAGCAGGCTGTTGGAAGTCGGGAACTGGAGGTATTTTTCCGGGACGTAGCCCACTTGACCCGTTTTGTTGCGTGCCTGGGAAAGACGAGCAGGATAAGAATCCGTTTAGGGAGGTAGAGCCTGCTTCAGCTCTTCCATGTTACTGAGATGTGTGTGTGTGTGTGAATACCTTGACCCAGTCCTCCATGTCTCCATCCTCAATGACCTCCAACATCTCCTGTTCGTCGATGGTTAGCTCATCCGGCTGAGACGCCTGCAGGGAAGACCAAGAATGAGATAAGTATAACGATAAAAGTATAGCAGTCAATAAGTGTCTCTGTGCTGTTTTATACCTTGTAGGAGTAGAGCACTTTGCAGGTTAGCGGGTAATTGCGCAGGGTTCCCGAGGGACTGGAACTGCTGTCGTCGAAGACCTCCATGTTCTCCTCACACTCCTCTCCCTCTTCACGCTCCAAGTCCACTGTGCCCTTTTTGACACACAAACAAAGGCGCAGCAAGACCGAGTCAGAACCTGGGATAAAGCGAGGAGGAACTTGACGAAAAAGTTTCTGTCGCTGTTGAATAGTTTAAGAAAAATGTGGTGTGCTCTGAATCAAACATCCAGGTGTAAAAACACAAGTTCAATTTAACATGTCACTAAGATGTTTACCTATTCCAGCCTCAGAAACGACGCCATTAAGATGATCCGTCACCATTTATTCCTGATGATATTCTGCTCTGTAGCTTTTATAAACAGGTGCTGAGCCCAGGCTGTCTGATATGACGCAGCCCCTCCTTGTTTTTGCTCCATGTGTTTCCCAGCCCACATGAATGTCACATGATCCCAGCTAATGGAAAGATCCATCACACACACACAGTGAGCCAGCTTAGGTCAATAACAATAGATTGTGCATGCATGCGTGTGTGTGTGCGTGTTTGCTTTTGGGTGATTGTGTTTAGACATCACATTTCTGTTGACACGGTAAACTCTGCACCAGTGCAGAACAAAACTCATGTGTGTTTTGTACATGGATTAATCTCCAGCACTGATCTTCTGAACAGAGGAGTCCATGTCCAACCCTCAGGCGTGGTGATCTTAACTTTTCTCTTAAACCAACTGTTAATGATCCTTCTAGGGATAGGTAAACACTGTGATGCCGACATCAAATTGTGTTGACGTTGCATGTCAGCAGGTCAGTGTCGGTATGCGCCCTCAGTATCGGGCAGCACTCAGGGACACACTGACTGTATTAGCTAAGGCAGCCAATATAGTGTCTTTCACTGGAAACATTATTATAAAGGCTAAATAACGTTTCAGATCAACATATTGCACACAAACTAAAAAAACAGTTTTAATAACCTTGAACAAAAAAGGACTATGACACAAAAGAAATAAAAGGGAGACAAGAATCTGTGAAGTCTATTTCATGGAAAAAGATTAAGGATTTTATTTATTTGGAGGCAATAATACTGGCTGACAGAAGGAGTTTAAGTAACTCTCTTTTGAACCAAACCATGTTTGGCTTGATTCCAGCAAGTACATTTTCTTGCTAAAACAGATCATATTAAGTTTCTGTGATTAGGCAAATTTTTTGAACAACTTTACGATAATTGCTTTTTTATCTGATCACTCTTCACAGCAAGCTAGACTCAATGTAAATTTCTTCAGCAAGTATTAAAGTGTTTGACAAGAACATGAGATACTTCACTTTTTATCAAAGAAGCTCTGGCTTTGAAGATCCACCAATCAGGATTTTCCAGTCAAATTCATTTTTCCCCCACATCTGAGCTAGCAATGTAGATCTTTTGCCCCTAGTGGCCTTCCTTCAATAGTGAGGCGGCAGAGAAACGGGTTGTGAGAGAGGGGGAAACATGAGGTCAATAGGTCAGGACTCAAACCGATGATGGCTGTGTGGAGGACTGAGGCCTCTGTACATGGGTCGTGAGTTTTAACCCCGCGCAACCACGGTAATACAGATTTTTTTTTTTTAAGACTGCAATAGAGTCTTTGATTTTAAAATATAATCCATAGTAATAATTAAATCACCCCCATCTATTATGTGATGTTATTTCAAATGTGTCACAACATACATGTGCTGCAAATGATTTTTTAGTGTTGGACACGCCGATCAGATCAGAGCCCATTATAGAAAATCTGGCTGACTGGTGGTTTGGAGACTGACATGCATCGTGCAAGTTCAGATGTAACACACTTGACTGAAGGAGATGATGTTTTTAACTATACTCTAAACATTCAGAGCCAATTTATTCTCCTTGGATGTGGAAGATTTTTTAAACCACTGACAGAAACCACACCATAAAGAAGTGATTTTAGACATGGTTATAGATGGAGAAGAGGGGAGGGAAGTTATGGCTGTGATAAAGCATAAACTTGATGTCCGGATGTTATTTATCGAAGACATATTTTGGTGTCAGTATGTTTGTTGTGTTAAATTACTTTTATCTACTCTGTCAAGTGGATTAAACAAAACCACAAAGACACCAGCAGCTCTGTCTATGAGACGGATCCAATTCCATCTCTGAGAAAAAAAAATCAGCATGTATTTCAGTCATAACCGAATAAAAATCACCCAGCAGATCTCAGTGTTCCAAGTGGTGCTGCTGAGAGCAAGACCAATGGCAGCTTTTATTGGCCTTGGAAGTAATAACTATGAAAGTCATGTTGTAATGAAGGCAGTGGCTGCTTGAGAGACTTGTGGGTTTGTGCCAGTCTTTCTCTATTGGCAATAATAAAGATGAGAAAGATCAAGAAGAGGTTAAAGTGACGCCTTCGGTCTCTACGTCTTAGCAGTCATGTCCTCCTTATAATCAGCAAACCACAGTTTAAAGTCATTAACAAGCATTCCTTTGTTTTCTTCTTTGGGGCCTGCTATAGCAATGCATAGGAGAGCACTGAAATGCCTTGCAAAGCATGCAATGCATTTAAGGCACCTATTATTCTACACCTCAAAATAACTGCCACTTCCTTTCACAGTTAATGCGGCTCGTACTGCTGCGTGCCCCCCTCCTCACAATATACATTTCAAAATGTATGGCCTGATCCCATGAGGGATGCCTTTTGTTGGCATTTTGAGTCACCATGGTAGCGAAAAATGAGCCAAATTAAAAAAAAAAAAAATCTGTTTTGTGTCAGTTACACTGGAAACATAGAATTTTGTCTGGCCTTCTGTGGCTCTCTCACATATGACAGTTTTCAGCTAGGATTAATTACCATAGCAATAGAACACTGAGGAGAGCCAAGATGTAGAGAACTACAGAGATGGCGGAGCAGAATTTTAAAACTACAGAGACGCCACCTTAACAGAACTACTAATAGAGACAAGATGGCAGAAAAGCAAATAAAAAGTAACTTCCATATGTCTCATGAAACTTCATGCTCCTAAACGGACAATAACTTTGGACTGTCAAAACAAGAGCATCACATCTTATGTTTTTTTGACCATAATATTTGTTGTTAATCTGTTGCTAAGAGATGAGGGAGTTTCCTGGTAACCAAGTGCCATGAAGTAAACATCTGATTTTTACTTTTGCAAAATCTACCAACTCTAAATTTGTTGTGCCAAAGCAGATCAGCAGTATTTCAAAAGGACTTATGTTTTATAAAAAATAATATTACTTGTTATTAATTTTGTGTTAAGAGGAGCGTTTGTTTCTGGTAACGAACTGCTGTGAAGTATAAAGTCAGATTATAAATCTGACTTTTGTATTGAGTGTCTGTTTTATAATATATTTACCCTCAGTGACGAAAAAGAAAAACATTTTCACTTCTCTGCAAGATTCACCAACTGCAGAATTCTTAGTATAAGTAATATTTCAAAAGAGCAGAAAAAAACTCATGTTTTTTTTAAACAAAAATATTTGTTGTTCTGTT